GCAGACCAACCTTTACTTGCTCTGAAAACATAGCTTTTACAATTGTTTAAATTAACAGATGTTGTTCTATGTACAATGAATACATTTTAAATAATAAACCTTACTGTATTAATAACAAATTGTATTTGACAACATGAGAATGATTCTGATGCCCAGTGGCGATGTTGAAACAAACCCAGGTCCTGGTAATATACTAAGACCTGATTAACAAAGAAGTCATGTACATCAAGGTTCACTCAGATTTATGAATGCAGTTTCTTGAGCAAGTATACATGTATGACAAATAGTTTTGTTGCACTTGTGTACTCTGAGATTCTGAACATGGGTCAGTGGAAGTTTTTAGTTGTCAGTACAAAACGAGATTATGGGAAATCACTTTATGATGAGTTGTAACCACAAAGAGTACATATTTATTCACCTGTTTGCAGATGTTCCTTGTACTACTTTATAATCAAATAACGGGGACTGTGACATTTCATGTCTTGTATTTTTCAGATCGGATTCAAAATGACCAACTGGTGGCCATTTTGTTTTAATGAATGCAGTTCTAGTGCAATATCTCTGACATGCTTTGACTGATTATGTTCAAATTTTATATATTTATTATACATCATGACATAGATATGTAGATGTACTCAAAATGGCCGACTTGTGGCCATTTTGTTTTAATTAATGCTGTTCCAGAGCAATATTTTTCAATATGGACAAGTATTTGTTTGACGATCAGATACAAGATGTCAATCATTTTAATGTTAAACAATCATCATATTCAAGCATCATTTTCTGGATGCATACTTCTGACATGTTTATGTCACAACTTTATTACTATAAACAAAACTATATACAATGTATCTTCAATTTGATAACTAACTAGGATTATGCCATGCATTGCTTGTTAATTATTGTTTTATCACATAGGTGGAACGACTTATTAAAGAAACTGATGCCGGTGAAGACTATCGTATTGATACTGCTTTACAAAGGGCATGTCAACCTGTAGTGGATACTGCATGTAAGAAACTACAAGCTGGAGATGCAGCGTAAGTTGTGCTGGTTACTGCAGTCCTATTCCAATCAGAAATATTTGTAAAATAATCATTTATGTTTTATTATCTTGCCTAATTGATTATTATTAGATGAAGCGAAAGGTACATAAGTGAATAAAGTTAGTCCTTGTTGTTGTTTTTGGTGTAATTATTTTTGTGTGATTACAATACCAGTTGTACAGTTTTTATTTCATTTTATGGTGAAACTTTCCTTAAAATGACATGTAGTTGAAAGCAGGAGTAGTTCATATTAATCATTGTCAGTCTGCATTCGTTGACATCAACTCTAATTTTTAGCTCCTGTGAAACGGAGCTTATGTGGTACAAGTGTCTGTGACTCTGTGACTGATAACTCAAGATCTACAATTTCAATTCAAATGAAATTTGGCACACAGCTAATATATGATGAGTAGATGTTGTGATTAGATTTTGGTGCAATTCCATGCATATTAATTAGTCAATTATTGCATTAATTAATTTATAACTTAGAGTCATTGAAGTTTCTTAACAAATATTTGACTAGGGTGAGTAGCCTAATTTGCATATTGCAATAACGTTTTCTGTCGCAAAAAAAAAAATATTTCATTGGAAGGTCTGTAAATTTGCGAATTTTAGTATATAATGATTTATTATATCATGATGAATGTAATTTGAGCAGATACAGCGACTAAAAACATCGAATGTATGCGAGTATGCACAGTTACAAGAGTGATGCGACCATTTTTTCAGTTTGACGAAAAAGCAGTACCCTTTCCGATTTTCATGAACGCAAGTTCAATTTCACTTTGTGCGTCATATTCATCAGTAGACAAAATCGAAGACAGATGCCATACAACTTTCTGCCAATCTTGATTCGTAAATTGCTGGTTACATGTACAGTGTTCTCCTCGGGTCTGCGTCGCTTAGACAATAGCCGCATAACTTTTGTTTCGCCCACGATTCTGCAGTGTTCTCATCAGGTCTTTTAAGGGTATCGTGTCTGATACTGTTCTTTCTTTCCATGATACTGTTTCCCTCAAGCTGGGCCGTTTCCAGGCCATTGTTTTGCAATGATGAATCAGAACAGAACAATTCGTGTGAACTGATCGATCCTAACTTATTATCTGGATACTCGTATTCACCTGCGGATACTTCGGCCTACTTTCAAGTATGAATATAGAAGGAAATCAACGATTTTTTTTTCAGTATCGTTCCAGACTTTGCAAGAAATTTATATAATAATCACAATGATCACTACTATTGGGTTCAAAAATTATTTATGATCATTCAAAATATAGTGGGCATG